GTCCAATCTTCTCTTCCTACAACTCCTCCTGAGCACATCCATCTCCGTAGCCAACAACTTTCCAGTGTTCCTTTGTTTCAACTCCCAGACTTCCGAGCCATACAATACCACACTCTGCACCATAGACTTATAAATCCTCTTCTTTGTTTTCTTTGACACACCCCTATCCCACCAAACAGAATTAAAAGCCCTTGTCACTTTCCTTCCCTTCTGAATCCTCTCCTCAACTTCCACACCACTGCTTCCAGACTTGTCAAATATCACTCCTAAATATTTAGCTCTTCTGACCCCCTTGACTTCTCCATCTTCTAAAGGCAGGTTCTCCACTATGTCGCTCCCAACCACCAGATACTCACACTTCCCCACATTCAGTACCAGTCCATTTAACTCATATTCTTCTTTCAATTTCCTGACCATGTAGCTCAAGTCCTCTCTATCTTCCGCCAAAACCACCTGATCGTCCGCAAAATACAAGGTGAACAAACGACTTTCTTCTAGTTGTACTCCCATAGGCTCACACCTCCTCTGCCAATTTCTTAAAATGCCAATAAGATAAAGTTTAAACAGCGTTGGCGATAAACCACACCCTTGCCTCAGGCCTTTCGTGACTCGAAATATATCACTTAGCTCATTTCCTAACCGAACTCGAGCTGTATTCTCCTTGTACAAATTTTGTGCGGCAAGGATCAAGACAGGAATAATATTCATCTTCTTCAGCTGCCCCCATAAAGCTTCAATAGGGACATTGTCATAAGCCTTTTCTAAATCTAAAAATGCTACATGCGTCTCTTTGCCATACATACATCTTCTTTCCACCAAATGCTTCAATACAAAAATATTATCCACCGTTGATCGTCCTGCTCGAAAACCTGCTTGTTCTTCTTGTTGTAAATTTGCAGTCTCTTTTTCAAAAATATCTTTTAAAATCTTTGAGTACAAACGACCAATGAAAGGTATTACTGCCAAACCTCTATAATTCTTGGGGTCCTCCTTATTTCCCTTCTTATGAATAGGTGTGATGTAACAACTCCTCCACTCTCCGGGAATATCTTCTCCATTGAGACATCTTTCAAACAATACTCTTAACATTGCAATCAATTCTGGTGGTCCGAACTTCACTAACTCAGGATACAAAGATCCAAATCCTGGGGACTTCCTTATCTTTATTGCTCTCACTGCTGCCTCCATATCCTGCATGCTTATTTCCACCCTATCCTGCATGGCATTCCCTGGCCCCTCGTGATGCATGAACTCAGCTCTGTCCTCTTGTAATAACTTCCCAAAATACTCCTTCCAGTCCTTCAATGTTATGCTACCAATCTTAAACCTCTCTCTTTTTGATGTTTTCATTATTCTCAATGTTCTCCAAGCCTCATGACTCTTACATCCTCCCAACATACTCTCAATGTACTCACACCTCTTCGTCCAGCTCTCTTCTTTACTCTGTCTAACAATGTATTTAACATCTCTTGTCAATCTTCTATACCTTTCTTTGTTCCTGTCACTTCCATCATTTAAATATTTCAGGTAAGCCTCCTTCTTTTCTTTAACCAACTCTGCCACCTCCTGATTCCACCACTGGGGTTTCTCAACTCTCTCCTTCATCCCCAAAGCTTCCGATGCCGCTTCCTGGATAGCTGACTTAATGTGCTCATATTCTTCCTCAATTGATCTCTCTTCTACCACCAATTTTTCCTGTAATCTCCTTTTAAACAACATCCTAGTACTGTAGTTATCCAAACTATCCAAGTTAAAACTTAACAAATCGAAGCGTAAGCCTTCTCTCTGTCCCAATCTCTCGTCATGTTTCACCCCTCTGTCATTGAAGGGGATATACACCTTAGCTTCCAACAACCAATGATCACTTCCGCACTCAGCTCCCCTCTTCACTCGAACATCCTGAATTTTCAGTTTTGCTGTCTGCTTGACAATGAAATAATCTATGATTGACTTTAACCCTCTCGTATCCTGGTGCCACGTATATTTATGTATTTCCTTATGCTTGAAAAACCCATTCGTTATCTTCAGATCAAACTGACCAACTAAATCCCTCAATCTTTCACCATTGTCATTTATTATGTCCTCTCCATGCGGCCCCACTATTTCACTGTTTTGATCTTTTCCAACTCTTCCATTAAAGTCCCCTGCTAAGACCACTTCACAATCCTGCGGTATCCCTTCAATGACCGAGGTAAGGGTTTCATAAAAAGTCTCTTTCACTCCTACATTTGCATCATCGTTAGGTGCATAAACTCCAACTATCACCACCTTATGCCCTCTTACTCTAAGACGCAGTGTCATTATTCGTTCATTTATCGCCTCCCAAGACTCAATATGCCTTACCAACTTCTTTCTTATCAATAATGCCACTCCTGCTTTTGCTCTACAGCTCTTGTCCACACCACTGTAAAAATGGGAAAATTCTCCTAACTTTTCACTTCCCGTCCCTTTCTTCTTAGTCTCTGACAAAATAGCAACATCTATATTCAGTCTGGTTAACTCCCACAAAACTTCCTTTTGTTTGGTTCCAAGGCCTTGTATATTCCATATTCCGAAAGTCAATGTCCATTTTCGTCGCCGGTTTCGTATCCTGTTAAGTCCGTCAAACATCCGAGGCTTTTCATTGCTGGGTTTTGTAGCAATCTGCTTTTCACATGGGCAGGGAGCTGGCCTACCGCATAACCCCCAACTTGGAGGACCAGGTTTTTTATCAAGGTTTTCTCCTCTAGCCTTTAGAGATCCAACTCTAAACTACAAGGCAGCAGTCCCAGTTTTGGTCCGCCCCGGGTAAACCCGGTACCTACTACCCAGCAGGCTTTCCCCTATCCGCCACCTGGGGAGGCGCCCGATGGTGGACTAGGAACCACACATTTATGTACACTTGCAAATACAGATTCTTGACTATTACTATGACAATACAGGCAATGACAAAAAGGTACTGTAAACTAATATAGTTTGAGTTCTTGAACCTGGATCACAAAAATATACAGTATACAGTATGGAGATAAAATGTCTTTACGTCATTCCACTTCTGTGATCAAGTTTTTATCCTGTGTTAGGGTAAAAACATAGTGGAGCCAGGCAGGTCGCATACTCGCATATATGCTGGTCCCCGCATTACGGCTGGTTACCTGGAGGGTAGCTGGGTCATACACACAGTGGAGCTCAGTAGGCCTACAGTCGCTTGTCAGCCGCCGATACTAATATTATCACTTATAATATCAGTAGGAATAGTTGCAGGATAGGATAAACTTACGTTTGAATCCTAGTTCATTTGCTATTTCATTCTACAGATCGTTGAGTACGTGACAGTTGTGGTACCGGTAGTGGATGGGCTTGGTTCCACAAAGGGTCACGGATTAAAACCTCTGATATTATTTTGTCCACGTCCATTATTTTATTTCATGTAAACAAAATCAACCAAATAAATCAATTAAAACAAACAACACTTCGTATACAAAGAATGGGCAGTGAAAGATCCCGCGTGGAACTTGCGAACTCAAGAACACGTGACTGTCAAATTCTGCTATTTGTACATGCCTCAGTCGAGCCTTCCCCGCTTGCAGCTCCCAAACAATCCGCTTGGCAATTCTTCTAGCTTGCTGCCTAGCTTACTGCTACCGTAAAATACTGTTACTGCTACCTGCTAGGCGCGACTGTGTGCGTACCCATAACAACGCATGCTTTAATTCTACATCGCAGTAAGCGAGTAAGCTACCAGCCAGGCTACCAGCTATGGGTAGAACGTACAACATACAATTTACGTTTTTATACACCAATGTTTCAAACATACCCAAAGTAAAAGGGTCGCTTATTGTAATTATAGCATATGCCGGAAAGATGACAAATTTTGAGAAAATTATAGTATAATAGTATTTAGCATCACTAATATTTAAGGTTTATTCAACCAAGTTGTCTTAATTCCAAGCTTGTTCATTAGGAAATCTACATCAATATCAACCACAGTACAGTATTAATAAACTTTAATATTGCTTTAATAATTTATTTGTACTTTGTAGAGTGCGTGTGAAGGAAAATATTTGTTTAAGGTTGTCTTTTTATTAAAATCCTTTTTTATCCCCTGTGATAAATCGTTTTTAAGGGGAAGAACAAAATCATTTTCTCAAGGATTGTCTTATTTATATTTACGACTTAACTCTCTATCTTGCAGATATCTTTGGTTAGCAGTGTTCCTGTTGTGTTTGGGATTCTCCATCCATCTTATTTACGAAGTTTGGGCATTGTGGAGAGATAAACCATTCTTCATTACATTTGATTCACATATGACGCCTATATGGACAATACCGTTCCCTTCTGTGACCATTTGTTCTTCCACAAATGTGAAGAAATCCTTCCTTGATCTTAGTACCACAAAAAATGAGTAAGTTAAACTGCTTTGATGTTTTCCTCAACTTTAAAAACTGTTAATGGATATGAATTGTTATTTTATTAATACTATCAATAAAAAATAGCACATCATGTGAATTTTCCATTCAACCCTCACTTGGGTAATTAAATTAACCAACTAACGAAGAAAAAATATTTATAAACTTAGGTTGCTTACTGTTTATTCGATCATGTGCATATCCTTTTCTATGCTGGTTATTCCCTCTCTACATTCTCCTTTCTCTCTTCGCAGTTCCTTATCCTGCCTTGTCACACTCCTCTCTTTCATATCCTTCTTCGCCTCATCCATCCACCATCTCTTCTTCTATGTCTTCCTTTTAGCCTTCTTACCACTATCACCTAACTCTGTTTTCCTAGGAACTCTTTCTTCTCACATTTTACTCCCACTTGCCCAAACCATGTTAGTCTTGTTTTTAAGCCTATTTTAATGAATTTTACTATAAAAAATTACCTGTAAATATGTTGACAAATTTTTAAGTTGAAATTATAAAGAATGTTAGTTCACCCTGGGCAGCCATCACCTCATTATTTTTATTTCCCCTGTATTTGCCATTTTCAGAACCCTGATGTTCTATGCAAGCTTGACATGTTTAATGGGAGGATCGTTGAGAAAGAAATTAACAGCTCCTGAAAAAGTGGGCAATGAAGTGTATGACTTCTTACTCAAGGTCAGTATTAAGTCATTCTAATCTTTTAGAATACATAAGGTTTTTATGGCTAATTCTTGCTGCTCAAAGTCTATGTTTCACAACTGTGGCAAACAAAGTGTAAATAGGTAGATAGATACTTAAAAAAATAAATAAATAGAAAATCTGAGTATTTCCATCAAATAACTGCTATTGGTTATTAATTCTGACTACATCTTTCTAGGCAAGCCCAAGCTGTGATGAGATGCTAAAAGTTTGTACCTTCCAGGGCCACCCGTTCAACTGCTGTGAAGCTTTTGAACCTGTAATGACGGATTTTGGTTTGTGCTACTCTTTTAACAAACTGCCATCTGAAATAATTTTTACAGAATCAACGTAAGTTTATAAATCTCAATCTTAATATTATTTTTTATTGATTTACTATCTGTTGTACACAAGCTTTGTCACAGGGTTAGGTTTCACGATAGGCCCGGCAAACCTGGGTCTATGGGCGCAAGCTCCCAGTAGGCGAAATAAATGTCTAGAAATAAAAATAAAAAGCCATGACTTAGTATTACTTTTGTAATCGTTTTTTTTTTTATCAGGCTAACAAAGCATTTTGATTTTAAGTTCAATGAACAAAATCTTTTGGTAAAGTTAAACTATTTTTCAACATTATCTACACATCAACTTTGTTACAACATTGATCTCAAACACGAGAGAACTGGCTGTACGAATGTCGAAAAGCGGTTCACATAGTATTGCCACAGCCACCATACTGGATGGGCACTACAGCTCGGAGTGATTATGGACACACATGAATGCCAAAATGTTATTATCAAGACTCAGTTACCACCCTAACCTCGCAAAAAGTCAGATGGCAACGTATCAGCTTTGACTATTAATACAACAACTTCTGTATCGAATAGTTAATGGTATCAGTTTTTCAATTATTTGCCCATATGACTAAATTGAACAAAACCAAAGTTATTAACTAGGTAATATTTTGATAGGATTGCTTGTATATGCATAACTAGGAAAATTACTGTACATGTATGGTTTAGCTTTTAAACATTTAAAGGCTTCCTTACTTGGGTTTAAGTACCATTTCAATCAGCATGAGTCATAATTATATGTCTAAACACAAGTAAAAATTGAAGAATAAATCATCATGTAAATTACATTTATACATACACTAGCTGTACCCTCGGGCTTTGCCCCGTTTAACTTCATAAGTGAGCTCGTTTGCACGTCCTGGTTGAAGTTCGTTCGCTACGCTCACTCACCTTTACGTTGGAGCTCGTTCGCTGCGTTCACTTGCCTTCAGGTTAGCTCGTTCGTTACGCTCACTCACCTTTTGGTTGCAAATTAGCTGTTGTCATAAATTTAAAAAAATAATAGTGCTGCACCCTGTTGGTAATCCTTGTAACTTTAATGCTATTGAACATCATAGGACAGAACCAACTTGTTTAATTGAAACAGCTGTTAAGATTCATTAATTCCATTTAAATATGAGTACTCATAAGGTTAACATGGGAAACTCCAGAGCCACTGGGGCGGAGCCCGAGAGTCCGATCAGAATCAAAACAACTTAGTTTTCCTATTTAATGCCTAAAGAATCGTTGTAGAGTGAAAATTTAAAAACGTACGTTTTCATGTCCCTGGCCTTTTACTTCGTAGATACTTGATTTGTAGTTTATTATTATGTGTTTTAATATTTTTTGGGACGGGGGCAACACGTTACACACATTTATTTGGTTTTAAATAGGTTCTAGGTATTTTTTTCGTATTTTTGAAGTCTCAAAATTCACGACCATGACGTGTCCCTAGGGTACATTTTCCAACTTTCACGCTGTTTTTAGACTAATTATTCATGCCGAAATATATAAAGCCATATTTTTATGTCATCAATGGTTATTAAACTTACAAAAAAGGAGCATATTATAATTTTATTGTCATTGCAAACTGACTACCATGACAAAATAAGTCTGTCCCTCGATTTGGCGTCACGACCATTTGGGGAAAATTTTCAACTTTGGAGCCCGACAGTGGCAAGCCTGGCGTCGATGGAGTCAGTTGGTTTGAGAGACTAGTTCGGGGTGTACGTCAGGATTGTAGTGCCGGTCGTTTCGAGTTGAAAGGAGGAATTACAAGATTAATAAAGGAAAGATTGTGTTTTTTGTAATTTTGGTGTGTCCATGACCGTACGTAGTCATTCGATGAAGTAGACATGGTGTTAATTTTTGTTTATAAGATATTTCAATTGCTAGATTAACCTAGAAGTCCACTTTGTATCCTCGAACATGAGGTGCAGGGCTACCGCCAGAACAGAGCCAAATAACACGTAATTTCACGACCAAAGTTTCACGACCATCGCAGGTTTTTTCACGACCAATCCAGCCTTATGGATTATATTGTGTTTGGTCGTGACAATAACTTTAATATAATTGTGAATTGAACAGTTTAGTTCAATTGAAACACATATTTTTATTATAACTAACAGTATAATTGAAGGATTGCCTAGAAAGATTTAAATTATCCCAGACAATTCACGACCGTACCGCTTGTCCCTGACCATCACGTTTATGATTTCTATCATAACAATTTCAAAAATTAAAATATCGTCATATTTCAATGTTTTATACACAAAAGAAGCACACCTCTATACAAACATAACGATTTTTCGGGTCTCAGGTAAGTTCTTTCGTAGTTATACAAACTTAAAAAGATTTTATTGGCTTTATTTCAATTTTTTGAGTTTTTTTATTTTTTTCTGGAAAGACCAAATATACTAAAAGCTTAGTGACCTTTTTATTGTATAATGGTCATAAAAGTAAATTAGTTTATAGCAAAACATAGTTATAAAAATAATATTAACCATTTTTAATATTCATTTAAACGTCCGTTATGGTCGTGACAGGATTTTGTGTTTTTCCACTAAAGATGCTCTTTTAAAAAGAAACTACCAAAGATATTGCGTTACCATGGACAAACTTCAAATGTTAATGAAATAAAAATAATAATAAAAGTTTTGAAAAAAGGGGAAAAAAATTTGCAAAGTGCTTTTTCTGAAAACGTACGTTTTTAAATTTTCACTCTGTACCAAATTTCAGCCTCCTAGGTAAATGGGAAGTGGGAGAATTAGTGATGAGTGAGTGAGTGAGTGAGTGAGTGTGTCAGTGAGGGCTTTGCCTTTTATATAATATTTAGATTTAGATTTAGATTTAGATTTAGATTGTACTTACTCAAAAGTGAGGTGTAAAGAATAGAACACCCAATGGAATACATGATAATAGCTGCGAAGTTTCTCAATAGTCTCATAAACAGTCTACTTCATGGAAGTGACTCTAATAAGGCTCTATTCCAGGCACAAGCCATATCCTGGCAGGAAGTATCCTCCTGGAGCAGTATTCTGGAACCCTGATGATGGCTACCCAGTTGATGACAAGACTCGCTATCTAAATAAAGAGAAAGTGTTCCCTGTCTGGTCTCAGGTGAGAGCATTTTTGGTTTTACATCCATCCAGCTATTTTAACTTCTTTTCTTGTTTCAACCCCCTAGGAATATATTTTTACAGCTCATCTTTTGCTATCACATATTTAATTTTATGTTCCCTAACTTTTGTTCATTCTTTTGTATGCTCATTTTAGTTTTCAAACTAACCTATTATATAAAACTACCCTCTTTTCCCAAGTCTACACATCTTGCTACCAAAAGTATTCACGTATAAATCCGCTTCTTCCAACACCTACGGTTTGGAGCATAAACTGCAGTCAGCCAATACAGTTTACAGTTTATTGGTACAGCACTCACCAGTCACCAGTCATGTCATTGGTAATTTCCAAACAATACATAACACTTTTAGCGTACACTGCATTCTTACTCTTAAACCAAGTTGAAACTTGTAGTCTTTATAACACTCTTGATTTCTTGTATTTTTAATGTATATAGTTATATTCTCAATAGTTGCAACTATATTAAGGAAGATGTCATTGGTCGATGTTTAACAGGTTTCTGGTGAAAACACCGGTTTGGGAGTTGAGCTTTACCAGAACAAATCAGATTGGCAAAGACTCTGTACTGGAGGATACACTGGATTTCAGGTAGGGTTTATCTGTAATTCATCTGCGTGAGCTTTTGTGCTTTATAAATAATTGTGAAATGTAACAGAAATATAATAAGATTTTTTGTCTATTCTACTGTTTTACAATCATTTTCACGTATGATTGTGATCAATATTTTGTGTAAAAGGGGTTGCTGGAATTTTGTAACCTTGCATTTGCCCATCCACACGTGCCTCAAAAGCCTGTGCATGGAAAGTGTCAATAAGCAAAGCAAGTGATTATCTGCCACACTACAAGAGTGGACTGAACTGATACATTTCAAGTGTCTTCACCAATACAAGAACTCAAGACATTGCTGTCTCGGTTTCCAACTGAGTCACCAACTCATCGAATTGAATTTTATCCAAATTTGAGATTTCAAGGAATTACTAATAATTTATATAGACGAGTCTAGTGCAATTTGTTGTGAGCATTATGGAGGATATCATAAAGGTTATCTACTACCCTACATACATCATACAGCTAGTAATTTCTACCTGGGTTTTTTATGTCCCGCTTTCACAAATGGAATGCTAGGCTTCAGCCCAGTACCGTTTCCGCATTACATCAGCCTAGGTATAGAGACTCGCATCATTATCGTTTGGAAAAAAACTATTGACTGTGTGCCATTGATGATTGGCATCCCCCACTCTACCCATAGACTAACTCCCCATTATTTTAGTGTGGCTAGGATAATAACTACTTCCTCACTTAAAAATTTATAAAACTTCAACAACATATCCTTTCAATTCTTCAAACTTAAGGACTGATGGTATTCATTATTCCCAACCCATTTGATTCTATTCAGGTTCAAGGTCTACCCTAGATTATTCTGATCACTAGAACTAATTAACTTTGCATTCACAGTTTTAATGATTACAGGTTAAGCTTACAAATGCAGCGAACTTTCCAGTCTTCACCAAAGTTGATGAGCGTCTCGCTCTGAACAGAGAGACTAGTTTGATGCTGACTCCGCTACTGCTCGGCTCGCATCCAGAACTGGCTAACATACCAACACGAATCCGATCCTGCTACTTTACCGATGAGAAGCAACTGCACTTCTTCAAGACGTATACTTACGAGAACTGTAACTTTGAGTGTACCACTCTCTTCACAATCAATGAGTGTAACTGTGTACCCATCGAGTACATGCGTCAGTTTGTTATCCTCGATTCTCAGTAGCTTTAACAAAATCTTCTCAGTGGATTGAATAGCAATTTTTTTATGTATTCCTGCTTTTCAAACCATTCAAAAATCGTTAATATCAAATCCTTATTCTTTCCTACTAGGAAAAAGTCTTTTAAATACGAGGCATGTTTTTTAAGTAAGTACCGTTTTTCAATTTCTCCGTTTCAGCACTGCGATTGGCATTTTCAACATTTGCGCTGTGTATGGGAATCTATTGGTAAGACCTAGCCGGAAATTCGAGAAAAATTGGCCGTGTTTACATCCGGTTTCGAGCATTCAAAATGGTGCCGCCAATTGAGACTGCCGCCGACTGTGAAGTGCGCGCTGTAATTAGATTTTTAAATGCTAAAGGTGTGAAAGCTATTGAATATCATCGGCAGATTAGTAAAATGTATGGCGAGAACATTATTAGTGACGGAATGGTACGCAAGTAGGTAAGGGCATTTTAAGACAGCCCCACCAACGTTCATGATGAGCAACGCCCTGGGTACGGGGACAGTAATGACGCCGCCCAGTGCGTTACTCATCATGAACAATGGTGGGGCCGTATTTAAATGTCCTTATCCACTTGCGTACCATTATGGCACTCTTAATATTCTCGCCATACACTTCACTAATCTGTCAATGAATTTCAATGGCTTTCACACCTTTAGCACTTACAAATCTAATTACAGCGCACACTTCACAGTCTGCGACAGTCTCAATTGGCCGCACCATTTTGAATGCTCGAAACCGGATGTAAACACAGCAGATTTTTCTCGAATTTCCGGCTATATCTTACCAATAGATGCCAATACACAGTGCAATTGTCGAAAATGCCAATCGCAGTACTGGAAGGGACAAATTTAAAAACGGTACTTACTTAATAAACATGCCTCGTAATTTTTTTCTTTTTGTTTTTGTCTTCTAGAAGCACTGTGTACTTTTTCAGTAACATTAACAGCGTTTAATGTACCAGTACCACAATGTAGTATTGAGGTGTCCGGTACTGGGAATGTTACTTTGTTACTGTATTTAAGTGTATGTTATCTGCAACTTGATACAGCCACTTTTGGTGGAATAACAGTTAATTACTGCTAACAGGTTATCTGGGTATTAAGTTACTAACAATAACGTTATTATTTGCAGATTGGAATGACACTAGGATCTGTTCAACTCCAAAAGATTTTCTATGTTTGCAAATTGCAAAAGGTAAATACAAGTATGTTTAGTTAAACTGCATTTAGTACCTAATACGTTAAAGAGTAATATTTGACAAAATACTTAAAGATAATCTATAAAACTACACACAGCTTCTGCATATACCTTGATTTATGAAATAAAACTTCCTAGAATTTATTTGGGATGGTTTGAAAAATTCATAAAAACCTATTTTTACCTCATAAAACTTTCTTTTTTTGTCCTAGGATGCTAGGCACGAGCCCGGAATTGTTTTTCACATTACTTCAGGCTAGACCTAGGCGTTGCGGCATTATCACATGGATAAAATCCATTGGTGGTTAGGCAGGATTTGAACCTGGGACCTCTGGAACCGAAGTCCGGCACTCTAACCACTACACCAGCTCGCTCCCCCATAAAACCCCCTATAGCATCATGCTGGTTTGTAAACTCACTCGAATAAATGTAGTTATATGAATTTGAACGGATGGTGTTTTTGGCCTCGGGAGACATCATAATGAACAAGTAAATCGGTCCTGGGTCTAGGTCTTACCATGACACCTACAGTAATAGTTTATTGGCTAAAATGGGGTAAGTGAGGCAGAGACCATGTAGCTTTTTCACCAAGACAAGCTGATTATTAATATAGCCAGAATCGTTTATTAGGAGGCCGATCAATGTTAGCAATGTAATTAAAATTATGGACCATAAAAAAAGTAACATATTTTTTCAGGATCAAAATATTGACTTTCTCACAAACAAACGACCTCTATAACCTCATCTTAAATACTTTTTAATACTTTATTATTAAATGGTGACCATACAAAGTGATATTTTAAACCAAGTATGAATGGAGATGAGTGTAGAATGAGTGACGCGATCTTGTAGTCTTGTTAGTGATTATAAGGACCACATTCCTTAGACGCAGTTGTTATTTAATAGCCCATACAGCTAAAGGCATCTCCAGGGACACACTTACCACTGGCGAAACCGCCGAGCGCCGGATCCGGCGGATCCGCCGGAGGTTGAGGGTCAGAACACACTTGTTCCAGCACAAACTATTTTACCGGAGCCGGCAACAATAAATAGAGTACAATGAACTCTGAATCAGTTTTGTCTTAGACTAGTACAGTTCTAGTACAGTTTAGTCTTAGAAATGGTGCTGTCAAGACCTCAAAAGCTGGCCTTGCTGTGTTTGATCCACCACAAAGGAGGAGAAAACACCACCGAACTGTTTGGGTGCATCCTATTCTGGAGAACAGACAGCTACATGGAGCTTTTTACACTCTATTTTTACAGTTGAGAAATGAAGCAAATAAGGTTTTTAATTATTTTCGAATGTCTGTCCCCTCATTCGACGAGCTACTATCGAAGATTACAGTGCAAATACAAGGACAAAACATATACATGAGACGCTGGAAAGGCTGGGGATTCAGTGCGGCACAAATTTGTCGCTAGCTGCTGCTGTCCCTCGTTTTGTTTTTGTCTTTGTAAATTTCCAAAGACCTATCACAAAGTTCTGGTTTCCCATGAACAAAATTAATAAATAAATCCATATCAACATCTACCATGATGATATACAGATAAACAGACTAAAATGATAACAGACTAAAAATAAAAACTAAATTAACTAAATAGCAAAACAAAACTAAATACACCACTTGGGCACTGCATTAAAAACAATAAACAATCACCACCCTCGAGGGTTGAACCACGACTGAGGAGTGGGGGCAGTCGCAGTCCGGCTGTTTCGCCGGTAAGTGTGTGTTTATCTCCATAAGGAACAATGCCCCGCTACCCACTGCTCCGGCGAAACCGCCTATCTGGCGGTCCGGCGAGGTAGAGAATATCCGGCCGTTTCGCCGGAGCATTTTCCCGCCGGATCGGCAGATTTGTCGAACCGGAGAAGTGTGGCCTGCCCCATGCCTTCCTGTGTATCTCAACTAGCTCCGGCACCGCCGGATCCGGTGTCCGGCGGTTTTGCCGGTAAGTGTGTCCCTGGCCTAAGGGACCTTCAGTTTATTGTGGAATCTGAACCCCATTTTTGCCTTGGTATATTACGAATATATGTACTTATCAGGATAGTACTGCGGATAGTCGTAGTACTCGTGCGGACGTTAATCCACACCAGGAAGTATCGCATCCACAGTGCATTCCTATAAATATCCACAATTTGTGACCTCCTAGTAGCTGGATTACAGTAATCAAATGTGTTTTTTGTCCATGTAGCTTTACCAATTATTGTGGTTTGTTGTTGGAAGTGACCGTTGGTTTTGTTCTAGGCAAGATGTCAGTTGAAGCCATGGGTAGAGACAAGAACAGCTTCTCCAGTCCTTGCAACTGCCTACAAGGATGTCAGGAGATTGTGTACAAAGCTACAGACTTCTACACCAACTACGTCTATACAGGTCGAGAGCCAATTTGGGCCAATGGGACATACATCGGACCGTGAGTATAATAATATAAATAAGACTAACAAATGAGCAACTTTTCATTTTGTCGGTATGTTGGAGTTCATGTGACCCAGAATTGAATCGGAGCACAACTTCCATGGGTATACAGTAAATACTAAATTGGCAAAGATATTATGATCTGGGCGTGTACTGAATAAGCCTTTCAAACAATTTGGCAATGTTTGGAGACAATTAGCTGACTTGGAGCCACCTGTATTTGGTTGCTGTTCCAAGGACGAGAAATCACAACAACAAAACGTAGCAAACAACATAAAACCTAACAATTTAGTAATTGTGACTCTCTATATTTTAGAGATACTTCCACTATCCTTTTTTAGTTATGAAAAAATGTCTATGGATCAGTAATCCAGCATTTCTCAAATTAGATGAGTGTCTAATGCTATACAAATTAATGTTTTGCCTCTGCTGTTACGTTTTAAATTATATAAACAGCAGTTGAGTCAATCACTCATCAGGACCGATCTACCAAATAGGCACGGTAGGCACGTGCCTAGGGCGCGAGGCAATTGGCTTTTTTGGGGGGCGCCAAAAATTGGAAAATTTAATAAAATTGTGGCTGTATTTGCATGCGATCACGGTAAACTGATAATTCCTCGCGGCTTGTAGACATCGTAACCGTCTCCCGCAATTACGGCAAGATGTTAATTATTTCCTGCGGTTGTGTATACATCATCATCGTCCGTCTCCCGCGATCACGGCCAAATTCTGACTATTTATGGTGGACGTGTGGACATAATTATCGTCTTCCTTGATCGCGGCAATATATGAACACATCTCGCAGTTGTGAGGAGATTATCACCGTCTACCGCGAATGAGGAAAAATTCTAATCTTTTCTTGGGGTCGTGTGGACATTATCATTGTCTTGCAAGATCACAGTAAGATTCTGATAACCCCTCATAGCTGTGAAGACATCATCATCGCCTCCCGCGGTTGTGTGGAATAGTAATCCTCTTCCGCCATTGTGGCAAATGGTAATCATCTCCCACTGTCGTTTGGAGATCATCATCATCTTCCGCTGATGAGGAAAAATTCTGATCTTTCCTGTGGTCAAGTGGACATTATCATCGTCTTACGCGATTGCGGTACAATTCTGATCATCCCTCGCAGCTGTGTAGACATAATAATTGTAACTCCCGCGATCCTGTAGACATCGTAATTGTTTCCCATGGTCGTGTAGACATCATAATCGTCTCCCATTGTCGGGAAGACATCATAATCGTCTCCCGGGGTCGTGAAGACATCTTAATCGTCTACCGCGATTATGGCAAAATGTCAATAAAATCCCGCAGTCATGTGGAGATCTGTATCGTCTCCAGCAAAATTCTGACTGTTTCCCGCGGTTGTGTGGACATTATCATCAT